AGATTTTGAAGATTTAGTATAAAAAAGAGTTTAAGATATCTCATATATAATTTCTTATATTCATTACATGTTGAAATGAAATTTTGGATGTATTGGGTTAAATAAAATATATTATTACTTTCACCTGTTTCCTTTTACTTTTTTTATGTGGCTATTAGAACATTTAAAAACATAACGTGGCTCTCACTTTATTTCTATTGGACAGAAACACACAAATATAAGAGTAATAGTCCCCATGCGCAACTCTTGCAGATATTGTTCTAATTCATGGATACCTTCAGAACCACAAATTGGAACACACCTAGAGGCAAGAAAATGGACAGCTGGCACTCCAAGTGCCCACACGCTGGGCTATCCACTTAAGTGGGAGTCCGGAGCTAAAACTACTTTGATAAGATTTCTTTCTTATTTTGGTCTGGGATTGAGCAAACTTATAGCCTTCTCTCCATCATTCCTGTATCTGTTCACACACAGCTACCAGACAGAGTCCTTTGGCCTTGGAGGGGTTCACTTTACTTTCTCCTAGTTGATACAGAGGCATTATATGATTGACATTGGAGTAAGACTTCGTGATACAAGAATCGAATTGACCAGTGAATTAAGTAATTTGTCTTTGTCTCTTACCTAGGTCCTTCTGCAGTTTGGATCTTCCCCATACTCCAAAGCAGCGTCCATTTCTGATATCAACAGTGGCACAACCCACAAACTTTGAACTCAGGTGGCCTTTGCTTCCGAGACACAGAGCAAGAGATGTGGAGAAGCCTTTCCCTGGCAGCTGAACGGTGTTAGTCACAAGAGCGATGATTAGGGTTATGGGTCAAGCTGTGTCAATGCTGAGTGACAAAGGTACCCTATATGTTGTGTAATAAATCATTTGCATATTTGTGAAATGAGAGCCCTTTAAAATGCAGGGCCCAGGGCAGGAGCCCTTCTTGTTTATATGTAAGAGCAGCACTGGCTGGTGGAGATGTGTTGTTACAGAATTTTTGGAAAGCAATGTGGCAACATCTTTTAAAATACACATGAAACACAGATAAAGCAACCCCCTTCCTATGCCTCTAACTCAGCAGTCCCCAACCCTTTTGTCACCAGGGACCGGTTTCATTGAAGACAATTTTTCCACAGCTCTAGCCCACAGACACAACAGCACACTTAGTAAGGCTATCAACAGCTACCAACATCTGGCCAATCTTTTATAACAGATACTTAACCTGGGGGACACATCAGAATTACTCTGGAAACTTTTTCATAATACACCTGTCTGGCCTCTCTACTTCAGATCTACTTAAATCTGATTCTTTAGGGAAGGGGCCCAGACATGTATATTTTGAAAACGCTCCCTAGGTGATTCCAAGGTATACTCCTGGTTAAATATTACTACTCTAAAAAGTACGCAGAGTTAACAGATTGAATTCCATTATAAACTCTCAGGCCATATTCAAATTTTATTTTCAAATTTTGCTTTAAGGCAGGGGGCTTTTATTTTGGATTCCGGAATCTATAACATAGAAAACTGTAATTGAGAA